TTTTTTTTTTTGTTCTTTTAGGTTGTTTGACTCCAAATGAACCTGAACTTATAGATAATTTTGGTTGCAATAGGTGGTTTTAATAAGGAGGGAATTTTCATAATGTATTTGTACTTTTATTAAATTAAATAAAAAATAAAAAATAAACAAAGTACAATTAGATTTATGTAAATACAATTATAGTAAACTGTAAATAAATTCAGGATCACGTGCCCAGCTAAAAATACCGAAATCAGCAAATCATGTAAATTCCATATAAATCCCGTGCAAATTCCGTATCCAAACCATATTTTTAGTGATACGGAATTGTGCATTTTTCCGTATCCTATTATGATACGTTATTTCTAAGGAAAAAAAATCGTATAAAAACTTTATAAAAAACGTATCCAATTTTTTTATAGGGACTCAGTACTCACAAAATCAAATACCTTAAGATAACCTCAACCAAATAATCTTGAATTCTACACTGACTCAATTTGCTCTAGCTCTAGTTGACAAGTTCATGAAGAAAAACGAAAATATATAACAACATTCCATCATATTGCATATAGTATAGTTAGGATATGTGTGCTAAAGTACGCCAGGTCAAGTTAGGGTACGTTAAGAATTTGGATATGCATTAGAGTAAGTTACTTATTATTTAAGGCTGATTTTTGGTTTGATATATACAATTTCAATAGAAATAATCTTGCTTAACAAAGATTACAATCAGGTACTTATTTTTAGGAAAAAAAATCTCAATGAACAAGCATAAGAATTTGAGCAAAATGTAAGGAAGGCTTTTATGGAAAATCAATTTTAATTATTGTTAATGAGACTCAACAAGAAAACTATTTTATCAAAAAAATGATATAGCAATACATACAGTATAACTTTTTTTTATCAAGTACATCTATGTAATAATTCTTTTAAATAAAACATATTGGCTTTTAAATGGTGAATTGATATTGAAAATAAAACAGTCCTTATATTATATACTAATATGTTTTATTTATTTTAAATTTAAATATAAGTATAAACTTTTACAATATAAATGGTTATTTAAATGACTTATACAAAGAACTTTCAAAAATTTAATGGTTCTTTATTGATAAAAAAACAAAAATATATATATATAAATATAGTTATAATTTAATAAAAAAATCAAAATTCCTAGAACTATTAATGTTCAATAAATTCTAGAATATATATATACTTAATTCCATTTCAATGAATCAATAGCTATTTTATGAACCGTACTATAATCCATCAATATGGTTAAATCTAAACTGTTGCTAAATTTTTTAATTCTTTTTTTTCTTGGTTTAATTCTAATTTCAATTCATTCAAATTATTTCTTAATGAATTTATATCTTCTTCCATCATATTAGAATTTAATTGAATTCTGGTTCCTTCCTGAGAATTAGTAGCAAGTTTAAAAATTTTGTATTTATCAAGATTAAAAGAATTCAACTTAAGAATATTTTCAATCATGAGGCTAACTTCCAACTCTTTATTTTCCTGAATAACATTCTTTAAGGAATAATAATTTTTGTTCAACTCTAATAATCCATCATTATATTTTACAAGAATACTTTGAAATTCTTTAGTATACTTATCAGTCAATTTAGAGATTTTCATATCTGTAATAGAGCCAATGGTAATTCTTTCCTTATTAATAGAACTTACTAGATGATTACAGACACTATGTAATTTTTTAATAGCTTCTTCTCGTAAAGTTAAGAATTCACCCTTAACTTTCAGAAAATTATTGACTTGTTTGAAAACTTGAGTTTTTCTATTGACATTATAAGAAGTTGAAGTTCTTAATAATTCTTGTTGGAGTTCATTCATCTCTATTTGTTTAGCTTCTTTTTCTTTATGAATTTCTTTAGTATTTTTTCCACCAGTTAATTCATTTAATAATTCCTTATTAATTTCACCCAATTCTTTTCTTTTATCTTGTAACTTATTAATACGCTCTTGATCAAGGTTAATCAGCCTTTGTTCTAATTTATTTATTCTATCTTCTTTAATCTGTAAGGCTTGGGTTAATTGCATTTTGATTTGTTCTTCAATGATTAATTTTTGTTCCAATTGAGCAATTTCTTTTTCCAACTTAGTTTTCAATTTAGTTGTAAGCTTTTGTTCTTGTGAAAGTCCTTCAACTATATTGTATAACCTGATCTTTTCTTGTTTTATCTGTTCATAATTAACTCGAAACTGACTTAATTTACTTTCTAATTGCTCCTTTTGTTCAATTAAGCTTTCTTTATAAGATTTTAATTCTTGAATATTAGCTTCTGTTTGAGCTAATTTTTCTTGCAATTTAGTTTCTTCTTGCTTTAACTGGCTGACCTGATCTTGAACTTGCTGGTTAGTTATTTTATTTTGTTCTAACTGTTCAGTTAAATTGGTGCAATTGCCAGCTAAGTTTTGATTTTCATTTTGCAGGTCAATAATTTGGCTTTGTAAAATATCTTCTTTTTCTTCAAATTCTTTAGACTGTTTAGCTAAATTGAGTCTCAGATTTTGATTGTTTTGATCAAATTTAAAATTACTTTGTTGTAAATCAAATAATTCATTTTCTAACTCAAGATTTTCTTCTTCTGTTTGAATTAATTGATTTTTAAATTGAGAATTTCTTTGTTGTAAATTAAAAAACTCATTTAGAGAACTTTGATAATAAGTTTCAGCAATCTTTTCTAACTTAAGAATTTCTTCTTCTGTTTGAAAATTTCTTTGTTGTAATTTAATTAACTCATTTTGAGAACTTTGATAATAAGTTTCAGCAATCTTTTCTAACTTAAGAATTTCTTCTTCTGTTTGAAAATTTCTTTGTTGTAATTTAATTAACTCATTTTGAGAACTTTGATAATAAGTTTCAGCAATCTTTTCTAACTTAAAATTTTCTTCCTCTACTTGCTTATGACCAATTTGATATCGATTTAGTTGATTTTTAAATTGATCTTGCTGAGATTTTAATTCTTGAATAATGGTTTCTGTTTGGACTAATTTATTTTGCAGATTATTTTTTTCTTGATTTAACTGACTGTTTTGTTTTAACTGTTCAGTCAGCTTACTATCTAAAGCTTGTTTTTCACTTTGAAGGTTTGTTACTTTTTTTGCAAATTCTTCATTTTGTAAAGTTGAGTTTTGTTGTAAATTAACTAATTCCATTTGAATATTTTGTAATTCATTTTGAGAACTTTGATATTTTTGTTTTAATTCAAGAAATTCTTGAGAACCTTCTAGAATTTTATTTAATTCTTTACTAGTAAAATCAAGTAAATGACTTGTATAGCATGCTTTTGGATGAGATTTTACAATAAGATTATTATGCTCAATTGGTGCATTTATAATTTCCATAATATTGCTTTTTAATTCTTCATTAATTTCATTATTATCATCAGGACGGAAAATCCAATTTTTAATAATATTTAAAATTTCTTTAGAAGATGGCCTTTTTAATGGATCTTCATCCCAGCATTTTTTCATTAAATCTATATAACATTGTGGAGTATTTTCAATAATTTCAGGACGTTCACCTTTACAAATACTTAAAGCAAGTTGAAGATCATGTGCTTTATCATTAAATGGTAGAATTTTAGATGTAAATTCCCACATAATTATAGAAAAACTATATATATCACTAGCTTGAGTATAAGGTTGACCTTTTAAAATTTCAGGTGCTATAAATGGTAAAACTCCAAAGATATTATTTTCTTTTAAAAAAGATTTTGTAAGTTGATATAATCCTAAATAATTACTAATAAAAATTCCATATATGTCTTCTTCATATTTGTTACATAAAATATTACCATTATGAAAGTTATAATGAATAAGATCTTCTTCATGAATATTATTAAGACCTTTAATAATTTGATATAAACAAAATAATTTTTGTTCCCAATTTTTTGCTATTTCTGTTAAACATCTGTTTAAACTATTCTTATTTGTATACTCCATTATTAATACATAATTCAAAGTATCTGGATCTTTTGTAAATCCATACATTCTAATAATTTCATATGAATCATATGAATCAATAATTTTCCACTATAAAAAACAATATTTATTAATAAAATAGTATAAATAAATTATAATATTAAAAAAAAAGATATTTAATCATACTTCATTTAAAAATTCATTTAAACTTTCATCTGAATTATTAAGATAATCAAAATATTTAAGAATAACTTTAACTTCATTATATTTTGCTTTATATATAGTACCAAATCCTCCTTTATCAAGATATTCAATATTTTTAAATTTATTATAAGGAATCCATTTTAATATATTTTCAGAAATAAATTGATCCATAATTTCACTTCCACTAGTACCAAATCTTTAAAATATAAAAATGAAATTATATTAAAAATTAAAATTTAAATAAATTTTACAAAATATTAAATAATGTTAATTATACTTACTCTAATAAAATTGTAAGATTTTAATATAATAAATAATTTATTAATTTAAATTTTAAATAAATAAAATATAATAACTTATAACTTACCAACTAAAATAAATTAATTATTATGAGTAAATATTATATAATTATAATAAATTAAAGGGTTTTGTTTTTTATCGCCATGGCGATGCATCGCCAGTGTCACGTGATTTTATAATTCCGGCCGGAATTAAAAGATCGTCAAATAAATATCCTTTTTTGGAAGTTTTGTGTAACAAAAACTTGAATTTTGCTGAAAATTAAAATTGCCTTTTTTGGATTGTGTAACGTTACCTAAAGCTCCAAAAAAAGATATTTTGGCCAGCGTTACTGAAATTAAGCATGTGATGTATAGGGAGTGACAAATAGTATTTTTTGCACTGAAAAAATTTTAAGTTCCCAGAATAAATAATAAAAATGGAAAACTAGAGGATGTGACGCGGGATGACAAATTATTCACATATGTAAAGTCACGTGACACTTGCGACACATCGCTATGGCGATTTTTTATAAAATCCTAAATTAAATATAAAAAAATATAGGATTATTGTAATTAAAAAAAAAATGCAATACTTACAAGCTAAAATATTTGAATAATTTTTTAAATAAAGAATTTAGTTAGTTTAAATTATATATATTATATAAATATAATAGAATTACTTACGATCTAAAATATTTGAATAATTTTTTAAATAAAGAATTTAGTTAGTTTAAATTATATGTAAATATTATATAAATATAATAGAATTACTTACGATCTAAAATATTTGAATAATTTTTTAAATAAAGAATTTAGTTAGTTTAAATTATATGTAAATATTATATAAATATAATAGAATTACTTACGATCTAAAATATTTGAATAATTTTTTAAATAAAGAATTTAGTTAGTTTAAATTATATGTAAATATTATATAAATATAATAGAATTACTTACGATCTAAAATATTTGAATAATTTTTTAAATAAAGAATTTAGTTAGTTTAAATTATATGTAAATATTATATAAATATAATAGAATTACTTACAATCTAAAATATTTGAATAATTTTTTAAATAAAGAATTTAGTTAGTTTAAATTATATGTAAATATTATATAAATATAATAGAATTAAATAAATAACATACTCCCTATATTATTAAATGAATAATTTTTTAAATAAAGAATTTAGTTAGTTTAAATTATATGTAAATATTATATAAATATAATAGAATTACTTACAATCTAAAATATTTGAATAATTTTTTAAATAAAGAATTTAGTTAGTTTAAATTATATGTAAATATTATATAAATATAATAGAATTAAATAAATAACATACTCCCTATATTATTAAATGAATAATTTTTTAAATAAAGAATTTAGTTAGTTTAAATTATATGTAAATATTATATAAATATAATAGAATTACTTACAATCTAAAATATTTGAATAATTTTTTAAATAAAGAATTTAGTTAGTTTAAATTATATGTAAATATTATATAAATATAATAGAATTAAATAAATAACATACTCCCTATATTATTAAATGAATAATTTTTTAAATAAAGAATTTAGTTAGTTTAAATTATATGTAAATATTATATAAATATAATAGAATTACTTACAATCTAAAATATTTGAATAATTTTTTAAATAAAGAATTTAGTTAGTTTAAATTATATGTAAATATTATATAAATATAATAGAATTAAATAAATAACATACTCCCTATATTATTAAATGAATAATTTTTTAAATAAAGAATTTAGTTAGTTTAAATTATATGTAAATATTATATAAATATAATAGAATTACTTACAATCTAAAATATTTGAATAATTTTTTAAATAAAGAATTTAGTTAGTTTAAATTATATGTAAATATTATATAAATATAATAGAATTACTTACAATCTAAAATATTTGAATAATTTTTTAAATAAAGAATTTAGTTAGTATAAATTATATGTAAATATTATATAAATATAATAGAATTAAATAAATAACATACTCCCTATATTATTAAATGAATAATTTTTTAAATAAAGAATTTAGTTAGTTTAAATTATATGTAAATATTATATAAATATAATAGAATTAAATAAATAACTTACACCCTGTAGCATTATTAATTAATAATAATTATAAAGTAAAGTAATTATAATCAATTAGATAAAATATTATAATTGTATATAAAAATTAAATATATACAGTAACTTACAATCTAATTATTTAAATAAATATTATTATTAGTTTAATTATATATAAATACTTTTAAATTAATATAAAATTAATTACTTACTTTCTATAATATTAGTACCATAATTATTAAACAATTATATTAATAGAAAAATTAGTTATTTAAAATATCATGTAAAATACAATAAAAAAATTGCTATTAACTTACCAACTATAATATTATTCATTAAATAATAAAATAAGTTATTTAGTTATATAAAATAATAGAAGTAATTTAATTATAAGATAATCTATTACTTACGAGCTAATATAGTTAATATAGTAAAAATAATTTTAGAAATAGTTAGTTATACGTTTATAATTTTTTTTAATAGCAAGCTATTAAGCAATTTTCTTACCTTTATCTTCATTATGTTGCAAATTGGTTTGAAAAAAATTTTAGAATAATTTCAACTTGTATTAGATATCTATATTCATATTATATACTTTTACCTTTATTATTTTGAGCCATTACTAAATAATTTTATTGGAATTCTTCCTAAAAAATAGGGTAAAAAAATTAAACTCCTTTATTCGAGCATATATAGTTGTTTGTGTAATATTATCTATGCAAAATGCAGATACCAATTTTTCAGGTTTTAGTTCCAAATATATTCAATTAGGCACATCTGAAATGTGTGTCAGGTTGACGGCGCAGTGTAGCGCAGCGATTTTTCCAAAAAAAATTAAATTGCAATTTTGTTATTTAAAATAAAACCTTTAAATTTCTGCACTAGATGTATTTTCGTCTTCTCTGCAAATTTATTTAGAGTATATACGGGCGGTTTAGAAGGCCATTTTCGAGTTATTTAACAAAAACCGTTTTTTTGACAAATCCAATTTCCATTTGGAAATAATCGGCAAAGACGATAAAATCAGTTGTTATATACTAAAGTCAAAATCTACTTCCAAAACCTCCTTCCATTTATAAGTGAATTTTGTAAAACAGATGAAAATACATCTATTGTGTAAATTTGAAAGCATTATATTAAAAAGAAAATCTTTAACTTAGATTTTTTTGAAATTACTGCGCCACACTGCGCCGTCAACCTGACACACATTTCAGACGTGCTTTAATTAGACGTTATAACGTTACGATGACGTTACGTCAATGGTATCACTAAATTATAAAAATACAACTTTCTTGTCGATCATTATTAGCTAAAAGTTAAATTAAAGTTAAATTAATATTTGTTTTTTTCATTTTCACATTTCTTTTGAGAGTATCAAGCGCCAGTACAATAGTGCTCATTGCAAATTTTGTTATGAAGTAAGAAGGTGGACATAGTAATTTTCGATCTTTGAAGACGGATGCGGGTGGGCTGGTGGCATAATGCAAGTAATGCAAGAAATGCCACTATATAGATACGTTTATGGTGACACATATACACTCAATGGGCGGGTGTGACAAATAGAGATCAGACAACTTAAAAAATGTCCCGATATAAATATAAACATGTAAGTTGTAACTACAAGACTTTTCTGGAAGGACAGGCTATAGTTATGATCTGTTAAAAAAAATAGAAGGAATAAAGGGTTTAAAGCAGTTAGGTTTAGATTTTATTTTATTTTTTTTTTTTCGAAACAATTTTTTTTAAAAAAAATTATAATTGTCTAGCGAAGAGTGGAGAGTTGTCCAGAGCAAAGCGAAGGAGTGAAAGGACTATATATGTTTATGAGCATATTGGATCACATGGTAAAATCTTTTATCCGCACGCGTTACGTCATTCGCCTCAAAATTAATCTGGAATAGGTTTTACTTATGTAAAAAAATTATTATAAAATGATAATTACTAATGAAAGAAAATAATACTACAATATAAATAAATCAATTTTAATTTTATAAAATTGCGTATTAAAAAACTATAAAACCATTATAAAAGAGACACAAAACATAAAATTTTTATATACAGTACATAAGCCTCTTCTATTTGTAATTGAGTAAAAAGACTAAAAAACATGAAAAAAGTTTAAGTTCTAACGAAAAAAAACACTTGAAAAAATTTTTTTACACAAAAAATCCCAGTACAGCTTAATTTTAAGGTCAAGTAAACTATTTTTATCTCCAAAAATGAAATTTTGTGCTACATCTTGCTACAAAAAAAAATATAAACAAGATAAAATATAATAAAATTTGTGATATATAGATTTTCGTAATTCTTGAATGTTTTGTGTGTAAATACCTGGTTCAGGGGATGATGATATTTGGCATTTCGCAAAATATCACATAAGTCACAAGGAAGGAACTCTTTCCGCTGATCTTTCGGTTAAAAATTTCTGGAGACAGAAAAGTGTTATTAAAGAAAAATTTTATTATACAAATACACAAAAATAACCACAAAAATGGAATCAGCATACAATTTTACAGAATATAAATGTAGGTTTATTAAAGAGAGTAAAAACCTTTTCTTTTACGACTCTCGAGGTTCAATATCACATACAGGAAGAGAAACAGTTTCCTGATCTTCATTTTCTTGATCACTATTATTTTCAATAACATCAACTCTACTTTTTTTAGTTTTTATATTTCTGCTTGTTGCTGCCTTTTATTTTACTCCCCTTTTTTCTGGCTTTTCTTGATTGCTTACTATATCTTGTATTGGAACTTTTTCTAGTACAATACAAAAATTGTGTAAATTAATAGATTTATGAAATAAAACCTTAAGTATTAGATCCTAGAAAATAAAGACTTACTTTTTATTGATTCTTTGAATATTTCTTTTTGTTTTCTGCCTATGAATGAAGTAAATTTTAAATTAATAAATAAATCACTACTTATTACTCATCAGTCATTACTTTTTCGCGTCATAGCTCTTGTTTGTTTTTAATTTCACTTTTATCTCTTCTAGTATAAGGTATGCCATACCTATCATGAGTTTCTGCTATCTTAAAAATTCTTTCATCCAAACGCCTACTCTAAATAAAAAGTAAAGATTTAAAAAATCAAAAATTTAAAAAAAAAATTATAATTTAAAAATAAAAAAAATTGCCGCATAATTGCTGTAAGAAGTTTTTAACTGTTTTCCTTTCCGAGTATGTGCTGCTTCAGCAATATTTGTATTATTTGCATGGCGTTCCCAAATTCCGTTTTCCAATTTTGAAACATGTTTATTTAATGATGCTAAGACATAGGGACATAGGGTTGACAATAATATTTGGCCCAATCTATCAAATTAATAATCAAGCTTTTTTATTAAATTATAAAAATTAAAACAAAACTAATAACAATAAAAAATTACTCATGATACAATCATCATTACTAAGTTTCTATTTTTTAATACAATAATAAACTTCTTAAATAGATGGGATTAATGATGCTAACTGGTAAATCTCTAGCTAGAAGTGAGTACTTACCAATACAACGCACATAATTATGTATATCAAATTTTTTGTATTGAACGCTATGTATATTTTCGCAACTAGAGATTGAAGCTTATCTATATTGTTTGAAGATGCATGTACTATCTCTGCTAACGCATCTTTATCAAAAGTTGCTTTAATAGTATTTCCTATAAAATAAATATAATAAATTGATTATATGGTTGCTGTTATATTAATAAATATTTAAAAACTTACCTGTTATAATTGATCTGACGAGATAATATTTTGAATCATGGATTGTAATTCATCTTTAGCAGTGTGTTCAGGCGGTGTCACAGCGGTGATGGGTGATTATGCGTACCTATGCATACTAATGCAATATAGAGACATGCAACCAAATCGTATGGAATAAATTTAATGAATTTAACATTGCATTTTTGTTCAATTATAGTTCCACGCATGACTTTCCCATTGTGAGTATGTGGATAACCTTAATAAAATAAATTAATTAAAAACTTTGTTATGACAATTATAATATACAATAATTATATTAATTACTAGTTATATTTACCACATTATTTTATTTTTGAAGAATATAGAATTAAAGTATAACATTAATTTTCATCACTATTATTTTCGTTCGTTTCATTTTCCCATCATTCCTCTTCATCTTCTCATCACTCCTTTTCATCTTCCCACCACTTCTTTTCGTCTCCCATCACTCCTCTTCATCTTCCCATCACTCCTTTTCGTCTCCCATCACTCCTTTCATTTTCCCATCATTCCTCTTCATCTTCCCATCATTCCTCTTCATTTTCCCATCATTCCTCTTCATCTTCTCATCACTACTTTTCATCTCCCATCACTTCTTTTCGTCTCCTATCACTCATTTTCGTCTCCCATCACTCCTTTTCATCTACTCCTTTTCATCCTTTTCATCTACCATCATGCCATATTTCTCCTTTTCGTTTCCTATCACTTTCTCACTACTCTACTCCATTACTTTCCATTACTTTATTGTTATTTCATTTTATTATTAGCATCTTTCTTCTTGATCATTGTAATTTACTTATCTTTTTATTTATTGCTATTGTTTCTTTATTTGTATCACTTCATTAAAAATACGGTGATTTTTTTCTTTTAAAATCGTAAATGTGTAACTTAAATTTTAATATTTGCAAATAAAATTTCATTAGATAAGATTATTTTTTTTTGAATTTTAAATAAATATGCTTGCAAAATTTTTTTAAAATATCTTTTGCAATAAAATTTTAAGTTTAGCCGATCAAAAATTAGCTTATTTATTTATTTATTTTATGTAAAGTCGGAAGGAACTATCTAAGAGAGCATTAATCCATGAGAATAGGCCCAACATTAGTTCCATCATCCATTCCATAGAACGGACCCTACCTAATTGTTATATATAGACTGGTCCAACAACACGACCGATGAAGGAACAGGTACCATGAAATCGAAGACGAACAAAACTAAAAAAAAGAGTTCTAATCTATCATGCGTATTTTTCTTTTAACTATTACTAGCTATTGTATGTAAATACTGTCATATACAAAATGATATACTATAAAAAGGTCCGTAAATGTTTTTTTGTGGGTGTAAATAAATTTTGGGTGTCTATATAAAATTTGGGTGTCAATAAAATTTTGATTATCTATATAAAATTTGGGTATCTTTTACAATTTGAGTGTCATTTACAATTTGGGTGTCTATTCTAATTTGAGTGTACTATTATTTAAAAGAGTGAATAACCGAATCAGGCGTAGGTGGTAAATCATTATTCCTTCTCCGAGGTCGCGCAATAGGTCTCGGAGGTGAATCAGTAGTATATCGACTAGGATCAGGTGGAGGTGTATTACAAATGTCTACGGTATCCGTAGAAGGGGTTTTCTTTCTAGATTTAGGTCGTGCTATTTGTCTCGGAAGTAAATTGTTAGTATATAGATTAGAATTAGGTGAAGGTGTGTCATCATTAGTCAAAGCGTTTAAACGAGCTTTTTCTTTCGCACTAGGATAAGCCATTCCCAACAATGTAGGTTTAACAAGTAACGGAGCAAGTGACTCCGAAGTGGTAGAATTGTGAGAAGATTTTGAACGGAATCGTGCATCTTCATATTGAGCGACCCTTGAAGCAAAATCCGCCAAAGAATCAATTTGGGGTTGTCTTAGTGGATTGATGATTTGGGAAAGAGATGTTCTTCTAATAACAGGAGGAGATGGTTGTCTAATAGTAGGAGGATGTAAAATTTTCCGATCCATATAATTATTATAAAGCCTCTTGGCTTTTAAATATCCATATCGACATTGAGGTATGTTGGACAAATCATATCGCCTTCTAACTTTATAAGCGAATAAATTGATGTTATATGTTTGGAAATAATAGTTCCGAGCATCACCACTAAAATCAGCAGGTAGTGTAGGCAACTTTTTCTTGAGTTTATTACGATTATTAACGCGCCGTCGCCAATTTTTGGCACATTTCCGGGTAAGTTGGTTCGATAATTTATCCTCCTCAGATTTCTCATATGAGGGACCCCATTCCACAAGATGAGATACTTTTTTATATACCGTAGAATCCTCTTTTAATAAAAAAGGTTTGTTATGATATAAGTATTCTTCATGTTTGATGGTTAACTTCTTTAAACGATTCCATCTTTTGACTTGTTGTGGTGTTCTATTATCGTAAAACTCAATATTTTTGTATTCTTTATAAAAGGGTCTACTTGTAGATGTACCTTTTCTATTAGTTGTGATAGGTTTCATCACTTCTTTTAAATCGGAATTACTCTTTCCTTTCCATTCATTATAACGTTTAACAATTACGTGATATTTTAAACCTAAACGTGTTGAGTGAACTTCTTTCCAAGGATTAAAATTAACAGTTTGATAGTCTTTATCTTTCCGTTGAGTGTTTTTCCCTTTTAACCCTAGTACAGGAGTAAAATGTTTATTACATTGCCATTGATTGTTCGGAAGTACGAAGGCCGCTGGTTGAGTACAAGAATTACTACAGCGAAAATAAAATCCAAGATAGATCACGTGGGTTCCAGAACTGAACCGGATATAAGTTTTGGTTTGTCTATTTTTAGCCAAATGGGAAAGTCTATTTTTAATCGCTACTAATTTATCTATTAATAGTTGGCGTAAACGTTTAAAATACTTTTTCACAGTATCAGGTGAAAATTGTCTATTGATAGAAAATACAAATGCGAGATATGTCCCTATTAAGTAATTAAGATTGATTTTTTTACTAGTTGAGTTGAAGATCCTCTGATGATCATTAGGCATGTCAATATCATTGGTGTAGACGTTGAAAGAATTTTTCTTTGTTAAACAAAGATCAGCATTTGGGTGTAACTCCATAAGGAAGTATCTGCTTTTTCTGATGTTATACAAGGTACCACTACCTCGTGTGTCGCTAACAATATATGGATTAAGCTTGTGAGTTTGAAACGAATAAGCATAAATATTACGTATTTTGTGTAAAAGTTTCTTGTTATAACCATCCTTAATAAGAACAGTCACGTGCGATGTGAAGACAGAAGCGTCAGAGGGTGTTATTTTCCCAAGGGAAGGTAAAATTTTCAAAGGTGTCATAATAATAAAAGTATTTGGTAACTATTATATAGTACTCTCTAAAAGCAACGGGGTATGTTAAGGAGAACTTTCCGTCGAGGCCACCAAGTGGTCCTCTCTCCTTTTTGCCAACAAGAAAGGTATAAAAATTTATTTATATAAAAATTTGGGTGTACTGCGGAATTGTATGAAATCTGACGGAAAGGAGAGAGAGTTTTTTTTGATCAAAAATTAGCTATTAAAAAATCAGTCGGCCGTTTAATATATATTGTACATCATGTGACATACTGTATTTGGAAAAAAACCCCCAAGCGACAATTGCCCAGATCACGTTTTAGTAAACTTATAATAAACCAAAATCTGCCATTTCTCTATACTTAATTTACTCATTATAAATAGAAAAAATCATTTGTTTATTCATTTTATTTTAAGAAAAAGCTAGATTAAAAAATTTATTTATTTTAACGAAGCTTATTTATAAAGGAGATTTATAAATTGGTCATTTTTTTTTACAATAACTTTCACTTAAAAGATCTTTTAAAAGCATGTCAAGCTTCCCTACTAATAAATATGTAAATCTCAGCCTGTTATGTTTAGTTTTACAAAATTTTTCTTTGGCGTAAATCTTGTCCTTTTTTAGTGATGTACAAATCTTTTTGCACTGGACCATATACCTGTCTATTTTACCCTAGTAATGCCGAGATTTGCAAAGATGATCAGGGGAATACCAATTTACTATGATATCATATTCTTTGATTGTTATGTCATTAATAAAAATAAACTTTTTAATAATCTATTGTCTTGATCGTCTTTATTGTCTTCTCTTCAACGTACATTTGCCCTTTGGGCAGTCTCCGGCTGATATCATCTTTTTAAACTCGGTTAGCTTGTTCTACGTAAAAAAGAAATATAAATGTGGGCTTTGCCCAGTTTCACTGAAATAAATTGTTGCTTGATCACTTAAAAATTGCTCCGAACAAAACTGTTGATAAACTTTAACGCATTTCAAATATTGATATTGATCTGTTTCACATAAAAAATAACTTTGTTATCTGCTACTTATTTGATTCAAGTTTGTTCGGGTTTTGACTAGGAATCATTTACGGGAAATATATTGATCGATTTTTCATTACAGATGTCTTTAATCAATTTTAATGAAAATATCCCATTTATGGTGATTACCTCGTCTTTTTTTATCGAGAAATCAGTGCACTTATTGGGATCGCCATTATTATGTATACTCGGTAGGTAGTAAGTAAGTAACGGAAATTGGCTAAGTGAGTAACGTAAAGTTACTAATTTAGGTTAATTTACGTTACTCCCCTTAATTAAGGCACGGAACGTAAGATAAAATTTTTTTACCTTACGTTACTCACCATATCTAGCACCACGTGATTTATATTATCAATTTTTGCATATTTATCTTAGTAAAAAATTTATTTTAAAAAAGAATTTTTCATACTATTAGAGTTGATTTTCTTATGCCTTTAAATACAAAAGAAAATTTGATTTTATACTTTTAAAATTATAAAAATTATTTATTTTAATAATTTATTAATAAACATAAAATAAATAAAAACATAACAGATAAGCTTTAATTAATGTCTTTATTATTTATAAATTAAAATACAGTAAATAAACGCGTTACGTGTAACGCGTCCTAATATTATTAACAACTCCACAAATATGAAAGCCAAACCCAGTAAAAATAGATCCTTGAGTAATGCATACCTATTAAACGGCTTTACTTATCTCCAAAAGACAATGAACTTTGACAAAGATATCAAAACTATAAATTTATTGTATACAAAATAACCAAAAAATAAAACAGTTATTAGTTAATAATATGACAGGCGGTTTAATAAACAAATTTTATACCTAAATAAATGTTCAAACCTAATGCCCTTGACTTTTCTATCTTTTTATAAGATTTTGTTTGACATTAAAAGAAGGAAAAAAGAAAAAATGAGGGAGAGTTGCGAAATTATTGTTGAAAAATGTAAACAAACAAATAGGCTGATCGTGATGTGCCACAAAAAATCCTTACGTCATCACGTGAACCATATAAGATACGTAACGTAAGATAAAATAAATTTCACTTTACGTTACGTGCCTTATATAAGGGGAGTAACGTAAATAAATCATGTGACTTTACGTTACTTACTTAGCCAATTTCCGTTACTTACTTTCTATATATTCGAAGTAGAAGTAGAGGCAATCACGTTTAATTGATCACGTGAATCGTATTTTATTGGCTAAATATCACGCACTTGTCAAAAGTGATTAATTTAATCGATCAATGCTACTCAAATTGAATTTTGATCCAGCCCAAACATACCGCAGTGCAATAATTCAATCAATGATCAAGTATAATTGGTTCGACAATGCCCTATTTCTTTAAAACTCAACAATTCATTGTTATTAGTAATTTTCGTGGAATTGAGCTAACTAAATAAGTATTAGTATTCTTTAAACCCAATTATATTGTTTTGTTGAAAAACAATTGCATCCGCAGTACGCAGTTTAATTCATTTTTTTACAAGTTTGCAAATTATGGCGTAATGGCGTAGTGGAAATAGAAAACTATGCCGACTGCGCATGTACTGCGAGATTATCAAATAAGTTATAAAAAGACGCAAAAAAAAAAAAAAAAAAAAAACNTAAATATCAGGGAATCCAAATAAATCAAACAACGAAAAAAAAAAAAATAATAATTCCTTTAACTCTTTTTTTTATATACAAATTTTTTTTAAAAGAAGGATTTTCTCTTTAAATTTAATAGGAAAATTTTTCAAAATGATAATTCATATTGAAAATTTGAAACATATTTGTTATAAATGTCGAGAAAATGTGAACTTATTCTATATTGAAGATATGATATGGCATAATAAATGTAAATGTTGTAAACAATATACGATTATATTCAAAGATACCAAAATTCCAAATTCACAAGATGAAAGGGCTTGGAAAAAATTTTACTTAAATTATGAGAAGAGTAATGAAAAAGAGGCAGCTTCATTATTTCTGATTTATATAAAGTTATGACATATCGATATCGTAATTTTGATTTTATTATTACTAATGAAGATGAATTACAATCAGAAGAAAAATTAAAAATAATTCTTAATAGATTAAAACAAGAATGTCATAAAAAAGATGCATTTAAATATTTAAAAGATTGGTATAATTATTCGGAAACAAAATTAATCTTTCTCAATTATCTTGAATATCATCCAAGATTATGTATTTTATTAATTGAAGCTGGATATGTTATCACAGGAGAAATGTTTTTATTAACTTTAAAAGCTGATATATATGATGATAGACATATTGATGATTATTTTGAAGTTATAAATGCTATATTAAAGAAACTTAATTTAGAGAGTAATAATAGAAAGAAAAAGGATAAATTTGGTTTTGTTGGTGGAGAAAAATCGTTAAGATCAGAATCATTATCACAATGCATTACAAATTTAACTCTTATCGACCATTATAAACAAACATATCTTCATTATTTTATATATGAAATGAGTAATCGGGTAAATTACTATAGTAATACTTTTTTTACTGGTCCTCTTTTAAATTGTAAGCGTTATTATGATGAAAATATATCATCAGTACGTTCTAGAATAGCAAAATATACGGAAACTTGCAAAATTATTAATGAGTACATTTTCTCATATTTTAATTCCCATATTATTGCAAGATTAGTAACTATAAAAAATACAATAAATGAAACAACAATTACGTTGGTTAATATTTTTAAAAACAAAATTTGAAAGATATTGAAATGAACCTAATAAAATTTGAGAGATTTGAATTATTGTCTATAATTGTTGATTTTCAAAATGTAGTTGTGGAAATGATAGAATTATTTGAGAAAAAGTATCAAGCAACAAAAAAAAGTTAGCAATAGAAAAATCAAAAGAAATATTGAAGTGAAATCGATTAATCCAGAAGAATCTGTAGAAGATTTGAAAGAATGTTCTAATATTTAAGGTTAATATATATATATATAGGTGCAATAAACAAAATGAATAAATGTAATGTAGCTTTGTAGCATAAATAACCTATTGTGATTAAAAAAAAATATATTATATTGTACAAAGGAGGCTTATAGCTCATTAGCTCCCATATAGTCATAATCCCAAATTTTTCATTAATAAAATATTTCTAAAGTAATAAATTTTTTTGAATTTTTCACCAATTGATCGGAGATGGTACTACTAGGTTCTCAGAGTCAAACGGCATAAACATTTGACTGTAAACTCTACATAAAAATGTTCATTAACTATACCTATCATTTCAAATACCGCATAGATTAAAAATAGATGTTCTACGAGCGAACTCTTCTATCAATGTATCGTCCATTTTTTTCTTTAAGTTTTCCGCCATTACCAAGCGTACAAATGAATTACCATGAGTTTACAGAGTTATGTTAGAAAGACACGGAAAGTATGGGAGTAATGAGTGAATATGCAAATTGATATCATGATATCAATTTAATATTACAATGGTATTATCATAATAATTAATTTTTTAGGGTCAATATATTAACATTAATTTTATTAATTTGACAGTAAAATCATTATTAGTTTAAAAAGGTATTAAACAGAACCGTGATATATATGCAATAGTCATTTCACGAGGAACTGTGGATATCGTTGATTTTCTAAGCTCAGCCGTGAAAATCAAATCAATTACGAAACCGAAGAATAATTTCAGGTTATTTATTTAGCGGTCGTTACAGAAACGCCTACTAAGCGGTATTGAATGTATATGATGCATTTGGTAAGGTATAGTAGTTCAGCCAAATATCGTGATTTGTATCATATGCAATTACTCACCCGACGTCCTAACGCGTTAAACTTGTTAAATATATATTAGTTATTTGATAGAGGGGTTAGAATATCACCGAACTGCGAAGCAGTTCGGATGATATTTTAACACCCCTATCAAATAACTGTGTTATTCTGCAGCCGCCAATGATCATCTTATAAATACTATAAATACAATAAACCATTGATTAAACAACGTCAAAAATATCAATAATAATTATGCAATGGTAGTTTATTTATAGCTTAAAAAAAAAATATCAGCATGATAAAAAAAGCATGATCCTATTTGGCTGTAGAATAACACTACATATGAACGTGATGAACGTGATATGATCTTTATTAAAAAACCTTTTTAACGTTATTTTAACTGGTCTTTTAAATAAAAAGGCAAAAAAATATTATATTTTATTATATTAATAATTAAAAAATTATATAAGATAAACCGTAATACGTTACATAATTAATTTTAAGATTCTTCTAAAATATTCTCAATATTAACCATTCTTTCTAAATTAATATTTTTCTTTCCAGAAAAAAATCCAAATTTAATCTTAATTTTAATTTTATGATGTACATTAATATTATATCTATCAGTAGTCCAATTAACCTTATCATTCAATACTTCAATTCTAAAATTATGTGACCATTCATTATGTGTATTCAAAATATTTGGAAATTGATCACCAGATACACTTCTTTCTTCTGCATATTTTTTGATAGATTTTACATTTCCAGAAGCTCTAAATATATGATACTCTTTTAAACCAACAAATATTTCTTTTATTTTTAAATCATATTTAAAAAATTTAAGAGCCAATTTTACAATAAATAGGATTTCCAGGTCCAAAGGTATTATAATTCATTGAAACATCATAACCTAAACCACGTTTCCAAGCTTTCTGATCATCCCATTCAACCCATCGAAAAGGGTCTGTCATTGGCATTGGACTATAACGTGTAATATTACAAATACATTTAATCTTCTTCTTTGAACCTTGACATTTCCAAAAATTCATTTTCCTTTTAATTTTTGCGTTCACATTATAATAAATATTTCCAGTATCCAAACTCATTGATGGTGGTAAATCATTAGGTAATGAAATTTGAAATGGAATATGCATATTTGTAATTTTTTCATATAATTCTTTTTTCGATCTTACATTATTTTTCAAATTACTACTTTGCCATAATATTAATGATCTATTCAGAATTTGCTTTTCATGAATATAATGAATTGTTTCTACATAGGTATGAGTATAAAATGAATTGGTACTAGCATTATATACTTGACAAGTTCTGATTACTTGTTCAGTCCAATGAACATACTCTGTACCCGTGATGGAAACTTCAATTTGTTTGGCATTCAAGGGTTCTTCCTCAGGAAATTGAAGGTGTAAGTTCCCAGCTATATATGAGTTTGTAATGCCTAACAAATCATGTTGGAATTTATTGGAACCTTCCACATAAGAGAACCATACTTTTTTACTAGCTTTAGTGTAAGAAGATCTTGGAGGTTGAAGTAATGCCATTTTACAAAATTACTAAACCAAATTATATTCCAATTAATTTTTTCGTCCTATTTAAACCCGATACTTACTATTTTTACTCCGAAAAAAAAATTGACGTATGACAAAATTTCTTCAAATGAATGATCAGTAAATTTTAAATTCGGAATTTCTCGTTTATAATACATACATATTTACGGTTACTTCTTAAAAGTTAAAAGGTATCACATAATTACATTATTATTAATTACCGTTCAGCCAAATAGGATCATGCAAATTTTCATAGACCGATATTTTTATTAGCCATAGCAATAACACATGATTGATATAATAAAATGGAGTAAAAAAAATGGCGTAAATGAATATTTTGTAGGAAAAGTTTAAATAAAGCTTATAAAGTGGATTAAAATGAAATTTATAGAAAGTTTATTTATGATATTATTAATTAATGCATGATCAAAAATGTCAGAACGATAACACTTTTATTGGATGTGGGGCACAGGGACCTTCATTGATTGGTGAAAATGGCCACTACGTGGCCCATTTTCATCCAATAGTTCAGTCCTATGACTGATATATCCAATAATATGTACTTATAAGAATAGATTCTTTTCATTTTTTTGGTGTGATTAATGTTTGTTTAGATGTATTGTTATTTTGTTATTTTAGTCAAAAATCATTGTTTGCTCAAATATGGTTATATAATATTTCTATAATAGGATTACAACGATTTATAAGGATCGGAGGATCACCAATTAGATTTTGTGTTTCCAAACATTTCCAAAAAGTATTTCCAAGTACATAATGCAAATTTCAATTGGTAATACTTTACGGTAAAAATATTCGAATTATTTTACCATTATGTAACAATATGAATATGCGATGAACAATGACAATGAAATCTCGTTACAAATCAAGAACTAATAATTTAATCAATTTGCTATTAAGGAAACTTATATATTATATAATATGTAAAATTGTAAATTATATCATTATTATATTTACAGAATTACAGTAAACTCGTTTATTAGTAATTTCTTGATTATTCACTAAATTTATCATATAATTTTTCCTATTCTAAATTAAATAATATCTAATGATAAAGATTGATTGATTTAAATTGAAAAATTAAAACGATTCAATATTCGAATCTGTACACTGTACAGTAGGATTACATTATTGCTAGTATATATCCCGGTACAGTATACAATATCACTAAAAAATAATTTATAACTATCCATAATAACGCCCCTTAAGGTAAATAAAATAATTAAAGTTTGCCACATTTTTTTGAAATTGTTCTCCATTTCAAAACGAGCGTCGGTCGATAATGTGTAGATCCTTGCTTTTGGGATAATTCCTGGATAATGCCAGTCGGAATTACAAAATTCCGGCCCTGACGCGTTCCTTATTAATTTATTATAACAAATTGCACTTTTGCACTTTCATAACTTTTTTAGGAAATTGACGTTATAAACTATTGACGCTATATCTTTATTTTACTGTAACCGCTGTTAAGTGTTAAAAATAAAATTAAAATAAAATTAAAATTTACATATAAATTTTACATACTGTATAGTATGAAGAAATTATAATAATATTACGAACGAAAACAAACATACTGTAGAACATTTTCTCTTTAATACAAAGAAATTAATATTATTCCTTAACTTTTTTCCATATTCTTAAATAATTTGATAATTCCTTTTTCTTTATATGTATCAAGAATTTTTAAATGTTCATCAGTGATACTAGGAACATGTCGAATTCTAAATTCTAATGGATTTTCTCTATGTGCCCAATTTTTTAAGAATTTTTCCAAATCATTCACAGTAATTTCCCAATTAGATACTAATTCAATTTCTTCTAAATTAATTGGTGCATATCTAACTAATAAATCTAATAAAATACTACCATTTGACATTAATTTACCACGTTTATGAGATTGTAATATAATCTCAAATAAATTTTTACATTTCATTAATAATTGTTGTAATTCTTCAAAATCTTGATCATCTATTACAAGATAAATATTACAAAGATCTGGACAATATTGATAAATTGTTCGAATCAGCTCTTTTGATTGATTCTCATCATATGTATATCCTGCTCTTATATACCAAAGTGATCCTTCAGTTTTGGAAATTATATTTGATAAAACGAATTGTGAAACTCGACCAATTTGAAGTATTTCTAATTTAGGACAGTTTAAAAATAAAAATCTTGAATCAAAACAATTTCTTATACGTCCATTATTATATAAAGATAAAGTTTTTAAATTTATAAATTTTTGATAAAATTCAATAGGTGGGAAATCAATTTCATAATCTAAAGTAACTTTAAAATGAATAATATTATTTGAATGTTTCATAATTGAATTTCCTAAACCTTTACAAGTATCTTTCCTTTTATAATTTTTTTCTTTAAATCTATCAATTTCAAATCTGAAATAATTCAAATTTTCTTGAACATCAATTAATCGATTCAATCCAAGATTTTCATTTAAAAATGATATTATACTAATTTTTTCTATTTTTTTACAAATTAAAGATAATCCAAAAAAAATTTCAGAATCAACATTTGTAGTACATTGTAAATGAACAAGTTCCGGAAGACATGTATTAGCCCCAGGAAAATGATGTAATTGATGATTAAAACATTGATTCTCTAATTTCAAATATCTTAAATTTAAACATTTACTCATAAAAAGTTTGTAAATTTCTTGTTCAATGAAATAACGTTGATAATCAAATTCTTCACTAGAGCCAGTTAATAATTGAATATATATGTTAACAAAATTTAGATCAAGTTTATTACAATAACTGATATAATTAATCAAAGGTTTTTGTTGTAAAGATGATAAATTTAGAATTCCTTGACTTGCTAAAAGTTTTTTTGAATCTTCAGATAAATGTAATATAATAGTATTGAACAAAAGAAATACACGTTCCTGACTTTCGTTCAGAAATTTCCAAGGTTCTTTCCAAAGGATCGATACAAAAGTTTCAAACCAAAGTTTATTTATTAAAAGACATGAGAATAAAGGATTACTATTATTTCCAAATTCTTGAGAAATATATAAAAGAATATCTTTATTAAGGGTTGCCATTTTTGTGAAGGAAAAATTTGAGAGTAAAAAATAAGAAAAAAATTTTTTTCAATCTAATCTTGATATTAAATATAATATAATGATGATGACATAATACATGTTTATAATCACGAATTCGCGCCTGATTTATAATCATATCGTTAATTAGTATAAATTGTAAACATTGTTACCTTTGCAAATTACACTCTTATTTTCAACCTTTTGCTAAAAATATAGAAATTTCTTTAAATTCAAAGGACGTTAAGCTTCTAAGCAAATTAACTATTTATAAATTTTTCATTGTGGTAAGTTTCTTATTTAAATAATACATACAATATTACTATTTATAATTCATTTTACGATTTTTGATAAACATTATATTATAGCAAAAGAAGACTCTCATCAACCGCTGTTTGAGTGATTTCAAAAAGGATCTAATTCCAATGAAAAATAATCAGAAAAAGTAGTCAATATCAATACCTCTTGTGCTACATTTACACAGAAGTATTACCTATAAAGAGATTAAAACGAAGAAACTCCAGTTCTGATTTGATCAATATCTGCGGCTACGGGTTGATCAAAATTTACGATTGCGGTTTGTGCCTATTGCAAAATAAATTTCTTTGATCGTATCTAGTTCCTCTGATAGCATCTACTTCTTCAACTAACGTAAATTAGTTCCACCTACATTCCATACGACGATGAACGTTTCACCCGCCAGTCCCATTCCCACAACATTTATCACATTTGAAGGTGGCCAACCTAACTTTTAAATAGTAAATAATTATTCCTTGTTACTATAACTGATAACATACCATACAAAATATTTACCGAGTGAAATTTTTTTTTTTTTTTAATATAACGTTATTAAAAAATCTAACTAGGTTATTAATATTAAGCGAGTTATTAAAAGATGCCGTATTTACAGAAAAAGCCGTGTTACTGTCAAAAAAAAATTTTCTTGAAGTATATGAGTTTAACATCCTTGCGCATCTAGACATATCTTTCTAATGGCAATAGAAGGAATGATAACGAGAATTTTCTAAAAATTGAGTTTCTAGAGAGTATTTATATAATTTTAGTTTGCCAGTAGAAACAATGTTACTATGTTATTCGTAAATAATTCTTCAGTAAACAATTTTCTTTAACGTAAACTTCATTACGTTCTTGCGTATCTAAATGACGATATAATTAGGCAAAAGAAAGAATAGAAGGAAATAAATGAGACATAATTTTTTTGAATACATAATGACTAATAATAAGACGGACAGAATGAAATCCAATCATATAGTAGTGGAATATTATTGTGATAATTAATATTTAAAGTAATATAAAAATATTAATAGAAATTTTTGTTATTACATGATTAATTCATCAGTTGAATTTCTTGATACTTTATGTGACACAATTTATTAATCCAGTGAAAATAATCGCGATGCATAACGATATTTCCATTCAAGCCGTTGTATGATTGCACATTTGACTACGTGATATAAAATTTATGCTCGCTGTACAAGAAAATAGTTTTAAAGTTTATAAACTAATGACTATTTTTTTCGTACAGATTTCTGAGATTACTGTAATTATATCAGTTATTGTAATCAACTTTACCTGAAATTTATTCACACATATATTAACCTGCTAACCCTGCTAACTTACAGCGGCATAGAAATTTACAATCTTCTCATAAATAAATAAAGCACTTGAAATTAGGGGATCAATTTTATAACAATAAATTACATCATTTTTCTAATATTTGTCTCCAGAGATTATTCAGTTACAATGTACGGTAACTTGGAGATACTTTAATCGAGCGACACTTCCCAAGTTGTATTATCAAACATAATTTCTAAATAATCAATATCTTGATGTTATATTAATCGCATAAAAATGTCATATGGCGATATTTTATTAGATTTATTGGTTAGTATGCACTAGTTAACATGAAAGAACTTAAAAGATCCAATGATTCCATTGAAGTTTAGATTTTCATATGTCCCTATTTAATTCAGTATAAAAAAATAAATAAATAACCAATCAACTCATTGCACTCATTGCGCACAATTTTTAGATAATCTGAGGCTTAACAAATATTTCAATGACTGAATAAGTGCATGATATCATTATTTAACTATAATATTAAAATGACATATTCCATTTATAAAGTTTAATACAAAAATCTTTAGAAAAAAAGTCTTTTTTTTTTTTTTTTTATACTTTTTCTGTACTTTTTAATCTTTTCATTCTTACAATATTAAATTTGTTTTTCATCAATTATGAGTATTTCTAAAATATCAATTCATGAACTAAATGAAGATAATGTTAAATATTATGCATCTATCATTTATGATACTGGTAATTTTATAATTAAAAATATTTAGTTTTATAACAAATTGGGTTAAAAATTTTTTTTTTTTTCTTTCTTTCTTTAAAAATAGATCAAGTGCCAGATAATTCCCAACATATTAACATTGAAGTTACAGATGATTCAAAGTTTGAAGAAATTACAATGGAAGATATTAGGGGAATGCGGTACCGAAAGGTATAAAATGGTAACGTACACATATATAAAATTAATAAATGTTTACGTTAAAATTCTTTAGGGTAAAGTTCAATATCTCGTAAAATGGAAAACAATCGATGAAGCAGAATGGATAGAAGCAGATAAATGGTAAAATCTCGCGTTCTTGTAAATCAATTTATATATTATCAAACCACTTTTAGCTACTAATAATTAATTTATTAGTGATAAGCAATTAATCAAAAAATTTCTTGACAAGAATGAAGGATCAGCAATGAAAGAAACTAAATCAAATTTTGTTAAAAAAGAAAATAACAAAAAAAGCTTTCACGAATTTAGAAAGGCTGGTTATAAAGATGTTCAATGTAACCCTAATACAAAAATTGCAAAATTACGTAAAGGTGATTGGGAAGATCAAGTTGAAGAAGTAGAAAGTATGTTCAGACATGTACCTACTGGAGAATGGTTCAGTTTATTGAAATGGTAAATATAAAATTACTTTGGAATTTTACCAAAATTTATTTTTACAATTTGCTAAAATTTTTAATATTAATTTATTTAGGAAGAATGGTTCTTTTTCTACGCATCCAAATAAAGAAGTTAACATTAAATGTCCTCAAAAGGTAATGCATTAAATTAAAATCGTTGTATATTTTGACATTTAATTAAAGAAAAAATTTCTTTTCGTAGATAATCTCTTATTATGAAAGTCGAATCGTGTTCGGAAAAGTAACCAAAAAGTAAATTCTTGTTTGAATGTCCGAATTTCGATTCAAGTATTAGTTATGCTGAGAATATTATAAAGTATATATAACTATATAACTAAATATTTCACATTAGATTGTTCTGCGATTTGTTAATGTAAAAAAAAAAAATCATATATAACAAATAAATATATAAAAATTTATTGATATTTTATGTGATAAATACGAAATGTTTGAATCATGATGTTATAATGAAAATCGCGACGCAATTATTCATGATCATTTCATGCAAAAAAAATCCTTTAGTCATTATAGTCATTATGGAGATTTTGGTTTGGAAATGAATAAGGGATAAGGGATAAGTCCATAAAAAGCCTTTATAAGAATTCAATGGACGATTGAGATCATAATTAGATAAATTTCCTTCTCCACATTTTCTTCTTTATCTCCCTCATATCCTCTCAACGAAAAAAAAAAAAATCACTAATCATTATAATCAACGAATATTTTTCTAAAATTACAAATAAATTCGATGTCTGAAGAAGCAGGTGAAATCAGTCCTACAGCTTGGGATAAGGTATATTTTTTATAAACCTTTTTTTTAAAAAAAAATTCGAGTTAGAAATATTTTATTATTTTTTTAGTTAATGGAAGAAGTTAGTTGGTTACGAGAAGCTTATACTCATAAATGTTCTGAAGTCGGATATCTTAGTGGAGAAACTGATCGTATGAAATGGCTATACGACCAAAGTTGTGAACAAATTATATCATTAAAAGCCCAAAACGAACATCTAAGGAAAGAATTAGATGAGGTAAAGAAATTAAACGAGTAAATTCTTTTTTTAAAGTGGATTACGATCTTAAAAATAAAAAATAAAAAATAAAAATAAAAAATTTATTAAGAGTGAATTTCTTCGTAAGAAGTTAACTGAACAAGTTGATGAACCAAAAATTGAACAATGTAAAAAGGTTTGTTTCTCTATTAAACTTTCTTTTCTTTATAAAGAAAAAATTTTTGTAAAGTTGGGTACTTAAAATTCGTCATTTATTATAAAATCGTAAAATCAAAGAAGACTCGAGGAGAGAATAAGGTAAATTATTGACGTCTTGAAATAACTAAAAATAGCTGACGAAATTAATATATATATATTTTTTTTTTATTTATATATAACAATGAACCAGCTTTTTAGGCCATATCCTTTAGTATCTACCAATCCAGTTTAGTTTTGCATTTTTATTTCTTTCATAACTTAAATGAAAAGAACTCATTTTAATTATTTGATATTATATTATAATTAATAGCGACACCATAATAGGGGTGGAAGATTTCAAAATTATCGAAATCTTTCTTTGAATCTCAAGAAAAATAATAATAACGGAAATGGAGATAGTAATGATAATGATAAAAGAAACAAGGACGCTAAAAATTCTCAGTGGGACAGCGCTGATGAAAGAGAAAAATCTAGGTTTGTACGATATTCAATTGAATTGTGCTCGAATATCAGCAAGTTAAATCTCTTTTTTTTCTTTTCTTTGGTTGCAGCGAGGACGAAGTCGTGATAGATAAATAATGCCATACTTAAAAGTTCTCATTACGGATACAATTTATCACATGCTTTTAATTTGAAATAATAGTAATATTAGAATCGTCTTTTCTTTTCTGATATTATAATAATTAACTTAGCAAAATATAACTATTTTAGATGAAAAATGGTAGAATTTAGTTTAAATTACAAGGATAGTTGTTTTTTCAATAAAAACACATAACTATAAAAATGGTTCTTTGTTTAATTTTTTATAAAATATTTATATTAGAATACAGAAAATTTAAATAGAATTTCAAAATATATACAATAGAACTAAGAGAGAATTAGTACTAGGATAGTTTTTTACAATTGATTTTAAAATCGTGGATTTATTAGTCCGAAATGTAAAAGGACTATATAATTATATACACTATACAATATTGTAAGCATATGATCAATTTATTATAGTATAAAGCAAAATAAAAAAAAAAAATGATTTATAGATTATACAAGCTAAAGTACTATTATTCTAAATAAAATTCAGTACGCTATTAGAAGTAGAAAAATGACGTTCTTCTGTGTAGTCACTAAAAGTGGCTCCAATTTTTGATACAATCCATGCTTCAGCAACTTGTATCTGTTGTATATTTAGAGGGTTTTGAGCAATTGGTGGAACTTGATGGTAAGTGCATCATACACATTATCAGTTGATTCATTTATTGTTGGTTCATTTATCAAAATATCACACAATTTTTTCCCTTGTTAAGCAATAACAATTAAGTAAAAGTTAATGAAGTAGCATTTGAGTAGAATATTACTAGTTATATCAAAATCCTCTTATCATCTTCAGAAAAATATCAACTTCGTTAATATGATTTTTTTTGGACATTTGTTCCTTATTAATTATTTTCACCCTTGTGTTTACATGATAAATTTGGTTTCTGGAACCAATGGCGAAACAGCTGCAGAAGTTGAAGAAATTGATGGTTGATGTAGATTTCCGTGATGTGATGCTGTCACAAGTTGTTTTTGTGATTTTAGTGATGATGAAGAAGTTGTCACAAGAGGTTTTTGCTGCGATGATAATGATGTCATTATTATAAAAGGTTTTTGCCGTGATGATGACAATGATGAAGATGTTGTTGTCGCAAGAGGTCTTTGTTGCAATAATGATGCCAAGAGGTTTTTGCCACGATGATGAAGACGATGATGTTGTCCCAGCGTTGATTTTGTAGAAGGCCATTGGTAGCAAATATATCCACAATAGCGGCATATGCAGGAACTCCATGTAGATTAACCCATGACACGTTTGGAATTTTCTCTAGAATGAAGTCTTGTTCATTATTTGCAATTTTACTTTCAGATTCATATCCTTGTAGGGCTGATGAAAGTTATTCCAAAAACTTTACATAATATTCAATATTTTAGATAATTAACAAATCTTACCACCTTTTCTAATTTTCTGAGAAATCTGTATATGAAACAACAATATTAATATAAGTGTTTTAAACTGATCATTTTTTCATAAAAAATTGTATCTAATAAGTGGAATTCAGATGTGAGAATGCAAAAAAATCAATCATAACGAAGGGAAATACAAAATGAAGCAGATAATCATTTTATATTTAAAGATATTAATCGCGCAATAAAAATAAAAAAACCAGAAACTAGGTGGCTTTAATGCAAATCATGATGACTATCAGATTGTACTACATATTTAACAGACATATTTTTTTTCTTGATACGAAAGCTCCTGACCGTAATAAATATAACATTTCAACAAAAAAATTCATGAAAAAAATATTAGAAACGACAAAAAATGAATAAAAATGTACAGTATGTTCAGGTTTTGATCCGTACTGGTAAAATAGAAAAGATATTAGACATGCGAAAAAGAATAAAACAACAAGTTGGCAGCAGAATTGAGGGCTCTTAACACTAAAGTAGTATCAAGAATATTGCCCTAATAGTGAAAAATTTAATAAGATGCAATCATCCTTTGAGAAACTATGCCGAATCAGTATCTTTTATGGATCAAATATAATAGTTTTAGTATAAAGTAGTATAATAAAGGATCTGTAAAACTTCTATTATTTAAATTTATAAAACAAGTTACAAAGTCAATATGAGGTACAAAACAAACTGCAAACTTTTTTATATTAAATATATAAAATAATTTAATGCTAATACTAGATTTTTATTTATTAGATATTATTGATCTTTTACATTTTTTTTTTCTTAAGAAACCTAATTATAAAGAAACAAAAAAATAAAAAATAAAAAATAAAAGTAAATTCAAAGAAATTGGTAGGCTTTCAATTCACTTTTATCAACTAAAATTTTAGTAATATTATTAATAGAATTAGTAATAATAGAACTTTTGATATTTATTTATTAAAGAATCTAAAAAAAGAAAAAAATCAGAAAGATAAAGAAAATAATGAAGGGTAGATTCTTAAATCATAATTGTTTTATAACTTTTTAGTTTCTTATTAACTTTTTTTTCTTTACAAGACAGATAGTTGAAATTAAAACTGCACAAAAAATCAAATAGTCTGTTTGAAGTTTAATAATATAAATACAAGTTGTACAAATTAATTATTTTTTTGAATTTTTCACTAATATGCATTTAAATTATAATTTACTATATTTCAATTCTTAAAAAACTCAATAAGAAGAGTGCTTAAGAAATTAAAATTACTTAATATAAATACCAGCAATATGAAGATATATGACAAATTGAAGAATATATAGATTCTTAAAAGTTTTTAATTATAATTTTATAATTATTATAGTCATAATTAGGTATATATATATAATAGTACAACTAATAGAAAATGAACTGTTAATATACAGTTAAATATTATAAGAAACTGTATTTCTTATTAATTTTATTCTACTAAGATAATTGACAATTTTTTATAGTAAAAAAAGTCCTAAATAAATTTTATTTTGATTGGAATTTAGTACAAATATATTGGATAAATTGGCTGATAGTAAATCTGTAAAGAAATAGTAATAAATTAGTATTGACGAAAATATTAATTCTACTTATAAAAATTATCATAAAAAAAGTATTACTGATTAAATATTATAAATATTATTTAATTACAATTATATATTAGTTTTTAAATAAAATGCATAAAAGAAAATGAGTACAATTCACTCCTTTTAAATATTAAGAATACATTAAAGTTTGTATTGATTCCTTTTTTTTAAATAATCAAAATAAAAATCTGGTTTTATATTTTAATACAAATCAATAGTGATTTAGAAATAGTTTCATAAAACTTATTAAAAAATATATAGAGAGAATATTTAAAGTAAAAATAAATTATATAATAATAAAAAAAAATTTTTTAAATAAAACCTTTCACTATATATATATGCTAAATGTATTTTGATCTGTTTTGCAAGTTTAATTAAAGTATAAAATAAGATTTTGATACCATTTTCAATTTATTTGACTTTTTATTTTTTGTCTATTTATTTTTAAATATGATTAGCAAAAATCTTTTGCTTATGTAAAGTCAAAAACAGTATTTAAAATCTACTTTTTTTCTTTAAGTAAACTTGTAAAATAAGCTAAAATATATTTGTTTTATAATTTTTTAGTTTATTAATTTTAATTTATAAAAAATTAGTCTACTTATAGTGTGCAAAAAAATAATTATAATAAAAATTATATGTTGAAATTCTTTAATAATTCCTGCAATTAAGGTTGCTTGTCTAAACCTCTTCAAAATCCTACGATTAGTTTCGTCAAAAATTTACTATAAATTTATTATAATGTTGGCAGAGTTTCAGCAGAATTTTGGCAGTTTCGGCATTTATAATAAGTTTCAGCAGTTTCGCCTTTCTCCAAAGTTTTGCCAGTTTTTTAATATAACTTTAATATAGTTTCGGCAGAATTTCGCTTTTCGGCGAAACGCCATCTTACCTAAACCCCTAAGTTTCGGCAAGCAACCTTACCTGCAATATACATCTGTTCGGCAAATAATTTTACCTGATTACATAGTAAACATATTATATGATAATTATTTTTTGTTTACATGTCTATTTACGATTAGTTATGTTTTACTTATAATAATATAACTTATAGTATTTTGCGTAATATCATACAAAGGTAGCTTATGGAAAAATGGTCTCTATCTTATAAAGAATTTGTGGAACATATAGGGTTTTTGCAATAGAAAAGTACAAAACTCAAAAAAAAGTTTAATTTTACTTTATATGCTAATTATATTTTTTTTACTGAAATAAATGCAAATTTAATATTAATTCAATTTTTGATATTTTTTGAGTTTCATACCTTTCTATTGCAAAGACCCCATATTAAAGAGATGTATAGAGAGACAGGTTAATAATAAGCTGGTAGTAAAAAAAAATTAATTACCATAAATATTTTTCAGGATATAATTTGAAAAGAGTGAAAAAGAATTAAATCAGAAATTTTTATTAATTTAATTAAAGTATGTTATTAAAATTAGAGCAAATAATTAAGGGTAATGGCAATAAAAGGACTCCGCTTACTTATAATAAAGGTTACTGTAGAAAATTAACCTTTACTAATAGTTTTTACCTTACTTTTTTCTTAAATTCTATTGGTTAATTAGCTAAAAAGGAAAAAAATCATAACAATGTAACATAAAATTTCCTTTTATAGTAGGATCTGCAAAGAATTTTATATATGATTTTTACTTTAGACTTGGGGGTGACTTATCTTATAAGTAAGCGAGATCCTGCAATAAGATAACTTATTAATTAAACTTAGTTAAATTTTTTTGCAGTATAATAAAGTATATATGTTTAAATTTTTATAAATGTTTAATAAATATTCATTACATAATGAACAAAAATATTATTATAATTATTTTTTTCTTGCATTGTATATTCAGTTATATTAAATTATATAATTTACTCCTACTTTAAATAATTCCCATATATGCTAATATTTATATAAAACAGCTAATTATTTATTCATCTATTTATATAAAGGGCTAAATTTTGACTTTATTAATAAAATATAAGTTTAAAAAAAAAATATTTTATTATTATAACAGTTTTATATAATAAATTTTTAATTCATTAAGTAAATAATTTTTTCTTTAACTGCTTTTTAATTGATTTTTCTCTTTATTTTTAACTGAAATATTTTGCAACATTTTTTAAATTAAATAGCTGATCTAAGCTAAATAGCTATTTAATAAACATTTACAAGTTTTCAAAAAAAAATATAAAGAATATACAAATTGTTCATATTAATAAATAAATTTGTCAAATTAATAAATCTTATAGTGGTTTTAAAAGCAAAAAAATTTTAATATATTTTTTATTTTTTTGAATCTTTTATATTTAACTATCTATAATTTTTTTTCTTGCAGTGAAAAATAAGAAAAACATTTAAAATTACTTATATAATATGACTATAATATTGAATAATATATAAAATTGCATTATAATATATTATATATAAATAAATACATATTAAAATAATAAAACAGAAAGTTATTTGCACATTTAATGTTTGTTAATAAAAAAAATTTCTTTGTTTTACTTGCCAAAATTCACATTCAAGTACCCAAAAAAAAAGATATCTAAAAAAAAGAAAATGAAATGAAATGTTTGTTAACATTTCGTTAAAATAAACAAAAAAATAGTATGATAAATTATATGATTGTACAAGGTTACAAAATTTTATTATAATTATTTGTTATTTACAAATTGTAATTGTTAAATAATTTATTTGAACATCATCTCACTTTTCTCACTTTCATCAATTTAATAAATTATTAAAAGATAATGGGTTGATAAAGGCAGGATTAGGTTATTTTCATCATTATCGTCATATTTATCTTCTTTAAATTCAAATACTTCATATCCATCATTTTCTAACACTGTTTCTTCACTTAAAGTTACTAAGCATTTGGTCAATATTTATCTATTTTCAATTTCCACACTTTGAATTCTAAAATAAAATTATATTTAATAAAATATTCATTACATTTAATCCTTTTTTTTTTGTATTTACCTAACATTATGTAATTTATCTACAACATGTTCTCCGAGTGGTTTATAACTGAAAATTTCTATAATTTTTGCATTTATTCAACCTTTAATGTTGAAAAGAGATGTTATTAACATACAAGTTAATCTGAGTTCTGATATAATTTAAACTCGCTTACACATTCTTTAATTTCACAGCATCATTTGGTAAATTCGTAAGATAATGCGATATCTTATTTAATAGACTAAAAAAAAAAAACTTTTTACTTATTATATATTGTAAAATAAAAATGAATTATTAACATTATACCTCAATATGTTTACCCAAATATGTTTTGGTGTTGGTAAATCTACATTATATCCAGTGACATAACTTTTTGGTAATGGTGGTGGGTTTACTGATGTTGATAGTTCTGATAATAAATTCTTTCCATTTTCTGATTTATATATAGTGAAATACATAACTAAAGAAAATTGAAATTTTTAAGAAAAAATATATATATATATTTTTTCCCGTTGAGATCCCCCAATTCCCTCTGTCATCAATTTACAGAGTTGCCACATCGAACGGGCATTCTCATGGTCGAACGAATGAATAATCGAATGAACGAACAAATAAACGAACAACATAATTATCAAACAACATAATCAACGAACAACATACAACAACATTCTTGGTTCATAACATAAATAGCGTTAGTAATATAAAACATCAAACAATATAAAATAAAATTAACTACTCTAAATTTTCCCCAAATTATATCCACTTTTACCTTTAATTTCAAACTTCGATAGCTCTCGCTACGAATTATTACTTTTCAAAAGTGTATATTTAATTCATCTTAAAATTTCCATTTTTATTCAATTAATTAAGCAAACATTAATTAAAGTTTAGGGCGAACCTATTACCTTTAATTAATATTAAACTTTACTAACAAATAATTAAATGAAACTTATATTTTTATTGAGTTCTGTGGATGAGAACTGTGGAATTACTTTGAATTCCGCTCTCTATTTATACAAATCTTATGCTACTTTCTATTCTATCT